GCCCATTTATTGATTGGGTTATTTGTTATCTTATTGTCTAATTTTTTGAGTTCTTTATATATTCTGGTTATTAGGGCTCTATCTGAAGTGTGTGGAGTTTAAGCCAATAAGGTCTACCTGTGAATCTGGCCTTCTCCCTCCCCCCCCCCAATATCACCGTTAGTTGGGTTTGTTTTTATTCTGGTTACTTTTTTCCATCTTGCCTTAATCTAGCAGCAGGTAAGATGGCTGAACTGGAAAATAAATTGGGCTTTATATCTTTCTTCATCCTTATCTTCTTTGCCCCATCATACTACCTGTAAAACGATTCTTGTTAAAAGGTTTGTACAAACTACTGGGGTGGGTGGGGGTTCTTGATTTTCTATAACATAGGAGGGGAATCCATTGAGTTAGTATTTACTTCTTTTATGAGATGACAAGACCTTCTAATCTCTTTACCATTTCACCCTAAAAAGAGTAAAGCTTGAAGTTAGATATTCTTAAATATGTAAATATTTAAAACTTTGACTAATGATTCAGATCCTAATGGTCCTAGATACCATAGCTGCCAGGAAGCATAAAAATAAATAAAGTCCTTAAGGAGGGAAATATGACGACAGATTTTTTTAAAATCACATTGAAGATCAAGGTTCTTGATGTTGGCATGCCTAATGTAAAAAAAGCTAGGGACAGACACAGGTTCTAACCTGGCTCTACAGGTAACTTACTTTGTGACCCTGAGCAAGTTACTTAAAACCTCTTTCCTATTTATAAAATGGCCTGTGATGCATGCAACAGAAAGTCTGGATGGTTTTAGTTCCCTAAATAGTGAGACTTTTAGAATTGAAGAATGGATAAGAGTAGGAGGTTTCTTAAACTTTTTGAAATGGGGGTGTGGTGAAGAGAGGGGGATAAAAGAAACTGAGAGGAGTTCAATGGATTAGTTTTTTCAAAACTGAAGATTTAAACAAGATGACACCAAAAGTGTACTTGTGACAAGGGCTATTCAGAACTCAGCCTAACTTTTCATCATTTACATGGTATTTCCAAAAGGTTCAATTCAGTTTCATTTCCCAGYTTCATTTTCAGAGAAAGGACAGCAGAAAAAAATTGGGAAACCAGAAAAATGATGAATTTCATTTTATGTCAAATTACTTTTAAATAATTACCAAAAGTTATATGTAGTCTTGACTTTCTAGTACCTTTTATTCTCTTTGCCTTTTTATTGCTGTAAAAATGAACATTTATAAAAATAACTTAATGAGAACTGAGAAAATTATTTTAAAATATTCATTTCAGAATGTCAGAATTCAGGTGTCAAACCCATTTAACTTAAATGTTTAAATTCCATTTGCATAAAACTCAAGTCAGACACTGAAGATTCAAATGGATCCTCGTCCTCCTTCTCCCACCACCTCCAAGTTTGTGCATTTTATATTCTTCACCGGGTGCTGAACCACTGGAAAACAGGAGAGAACACCTAGCGAAGTTCTTCATTGCAAAGTGTACCAACAGGCAAATCTTTAGAATGCTTGGTTATTCATTTCTCCTGAAATGCTGTGTTAATAATTTCTTAACTATGGCTTTACTAAAAGTAGCAGCTCTAAGCCCACTTGGGTTAGCAAATTTGGTGGTTCTTTTTATTGCCTGAATGAGTAGTCTGACTCCCCATGGAAAAAGTTAGAACCAGTATAATAAATGAAGGTCTTAGCTCTCTTATCCTGTCTTCTTGGAAGATGAGCATCTCAGGAGTTACTTGCTAATACTGGAGCAGAGGGATCCTCATGCCAGATACGGAGCATGATGTGGTGTTTGCAGCTGCCTCGGCAGAGCCACACCATACGACTATTTGCTGACAGCAGGAGAAGCTTAAAATACCTTAAGATCCAGCTATGACTCTGGCCTCTGTGAACCTAAGGCTACCAGAGAGTAGGGGAGAGGCAACTTGGTGGAAAGCCACTCAGATGGCTTTTGATCCTGGTGCATCAATCAGGTGGAGTATGGGAGGGGATTCCAGGAACAGAATGCGTTTTGCCATAGCTAGGAAATAGTAAAGAGACAGTAAAGGTAGGAAGATCAGGAAGGAGCATTTGGAGATTCAGCGTGAGAGTGCTGGATAATGGGTTTGAGGGCTCAGGGGTGGCTTTTATGAGTCCTATTCCCAAGCCAGTTCTAAACACATGAAGCAGGAGCACATGTGCTGGACAGTCTACCCAAACCACACAGACATCTGGAACTTCAGGGCAGTGGCAAATCCCAGTGGCATAGCTGCTTTTAAATGTTCAAATTAAGTTCACTAGGACCTCACAAAGTCCTTTGTTGTTAAGAATCTTTGATGCTCTGCACAGATTAAGAATACAGAACCATTTTCTCTTTATTCCTTTCGGTTTTCAAGAAAGTTTCCACCTCCTCCTCCTCCCCCTCCTCCTCCTCCTCCTCCTCCTCCTCTCCCTCCTCCTCCTCCTATGGATTTAAGTGGGATCATTTTACTGATTAATTACAGGAGGGAAGAAAAGACAGGAAGGAGTTTAGAACTTCCCCCTGGTCCTACATCTAATGATACTTGATAACGGACCTAAATCTTTTTTGAGTTTGTATTAGCAGCTTCAATCCCTTGAATTGCTTTGGGTTTCTGAAAGATTTATTTTTGGAAATTAAATACCTGGGGTAAGAAATTTAGGTGTTTGTTTGTTTTTAACTTTTAAAGTTAGGTGCCTTTTCATAAAATTATCGCTGTTTTATCTGCTTGTTATAGTGCCACCTCCTGTTGAAGTTTCTTTTGGCAGCCATTGGTCCTTGTGTCTGCCTGACAGGAATAGAGGAAAGCATCTTGGATGTTCAATTGAGCTATACAGGAAAGCTTTTGAATAAGAGTGAGATTTTAGCCATCTGCTAAGTGTTTACTAACTTTCATTGCAAAAACTGAAATTTGAACTCCCAATGGAAAATGTTTAAAAAACTAAATATTCTTACAAAATTTAATAGCTTGCTATTGCTTACTGGACACCTACTGTTAAAGACAGAGGTCACCATTTGCGTGTGTTGGTGCTACGTCACATACTATTTATATGTATTAAGGTCTGTGTAAATAATTGGCAATTCGGAGTGTACTAAAACTTTGCATATAGTAAAACCTTCTCTAGGGAACAAATGCAGAGAATAAAGCCTGTGGTATTTACTGAACGCAGAGGTGGCAGCACTGAAGTAGACTGACCTACAAATCCACAAAAATAACTTCAACCAAGTGGGTTTTTTTCCCCTCTCTCTCACACATTTTAATAGAATTATTATTTTTAACAGGTATATATGAGAGGACTGAGAACTCACATCAAAGTCCTTCCCTTCATATCCCTGGTGTGGTTAAAATAGAGCACTTGGAAGCCGACAAGTTTCATCCGGGTCCGTGTACACGGGTTCAGATCATCTTATATAAAACTGACTGTGCCATTACCCATACACTTGATTGACCTAGCAGCTTGGTCCAGGCAACAGCCTTCAGGACAACAACCTGTGCGCACGCCCGGGGACTCTGGGGCTGGCGTGGGTGTTCAGAGTCTCCCTATCCAGAAGGAGCAGTCCTCGCAGTTCCCTCTCTGACGGTGTCTTCCTCTCTCTCCCCAGGGACCCTCTGAAAATCCAGCAACTCCAGAACCAAATCCGCCTGGAGCAGGAGGCGGGCGCCCTGCGCAGCGCGCCCCCTTCGCCGCCCTTCCCGCCGCCGCCCGCCCTCCCCGAGCTCGCGGCCTGCGCGTCGCCCGCCTCCCCGGAGCCCATGAGCGCGCTGACCTCCCGCTCCGCCTCCACCATGCAGTCCTCCGGCTCCTTCAACTACGCGCGCCCCAAGCAGTTCATCGCCGCGCAGAACCTCGGGCCCGCGTCCGGCCACGGCACGCCGGCCTCCAGCCCCAGCTCCTCCAGCCTGCCGTCGCCCCTGTCCCCCACGCTGAAGCAGTTCGGCCGCGCGCCCGTGCCGCCCTTCGCGCAGCCCTTCGGGGCCGAGGCCGAGGCCTCGTGGTGCCCGTCTTCCCCGTCGCCCCCGCCGCCGCCGCCCCCGGTCTTCAGCCCCACCAGCGCCTTCCCGGTGCCCGACGTGTTCCCGCTGCCGCCGCCGCCGCCGCCCCCGCTCCCGAGCTCGGCTCCGGCTTCGCACTGCGCCTCGCCCACGGCCCGCTTCGGCCACAGCCAGACGCCGGCGGCCTTCCTCAGCTCCCTGCTGCCCTCGCAGCCACCACCCGTGGCCGTCAACGCCTTGGGGCTGCCCAAGGGCGTCACCCCCGCGTGAGTGACAGCCGCACACCTCCACCTCCCCGCCTACCCAAGGCTCCCACATTCCCTAAGACACTGCGCCCACAAGTCTGCGACCGGGGAGTACCGCTGTAGCAATACACGAATTTCCCTCCATCCGATTTTTAAGTGATCACAGCAGCTTTTCAATGCTGATATTGCATAGCTATCTGACCATTACCTAGGTCCACACTATTTCCTCCAAGTTAGATTCCCATCAAGAACTGCAGTGCTCATAATAATTGTGATAACAGTGACCCTAGCAACCACTTATCCATCTTTGTGCTAAGCGGTTCATATATATATACTATTTCATGATACACCACTCCCAAGAGTCAAATGAGGATTCTAGTAGTTAAAATAATTTGGGGGTGGGGGTTCACAGAGCCATTGAACTAAGATTTGAACCCATGTACTGTGGCCCCCAAACTAAGCATTTCAACTCAGTATTCCAATAGATGTGGAGGGGTTTGGTTACTAAGTATACACTTCAGTGTTTGAGAAAAACCCTAACTAGTATTAAGTTTTTATAAGCATCTAGTGATGGGCTGTGTGTGGATGTATTTACATTTTAGTGCAAATAAGTGAGAGTGTATGCAATTTAGTGAAAAATGGAGGTACCAATTCTGACCCTGGAAACAGGTAGATTACGTGACTCCTCTCAGTTTTCCTCTTTGTAAATTATCTAATATCTGTTTTCCTGAACCTATARTGGCAACCCTATGACCGCTTTTTGTTTGGTTTCTGAGATGACCCAGGTTGGCCCCAAACTCTGGGCTCTAATGATCCTTYTACCTCAGCCTTCTGAGTAGCTGGGACTACAGGTCTGGAAACCACTTCCAGCTATGAACTCTTTAAAATAGAAAATGGTTGAAGCTAAATAAGAGGACATCTACAAAAGTGTAGTAAAGCCTTCAGAAGTAACATATCATACAGGTGTTTGTGTTTTATAGAAGAGTAAAATGAGTTTTGAAAGCTAGCAGTTACTCACTTTACCAAAGATTTCAAAACTGAGTAGGTGCTAGCGATGGTGAAGCCAGTCTCAGTATTTCAACTCTACCTGCTGAACTCCTACCTCAGAGCTTGCCAGAAGCCCAGTATTCTTCAGAGAGAAACAAAATAAACCCCACTAAAGAATAAAATTGGGCAGACCTTAGAACTCATACTATTTTCTTTTATATATAAAGTTTTCCATTGCTGGAATGAACTAATGCCAAATTAAAGACAAGCATTTCTGTCTCTGGCCTTGACTGGGTTGTCAGAGAGCTTCACAGCCTTGTTTTGTTGGGCACTTTCTAAATGTTGATTACATGAATTCTCTGTTGGAAATCTGGCTTCTCAGATTCTTATTGGAAAAAAGCACAAGTGCATATATAAGTAAATAAAAGTACAGAATCTGTGCAGTAATGATATGATAATAGACTTCTAATGAAAGTGAAGTCAAGGAATTTGCCTAAGGAAAAATTTGGACTTTCTCCCCAACTTTTCTTTTTGAACTTGTATTTGGCTGCTAGAAAATGAAACATCATCTGGCTACAAAGAAGCTAATTTACCAGAAATTCAGGGTAGAAGCTTGATGCCTGACAGTTCTCTCACTAAAATGCTACCAAATCTTGCTTCCCAGGAAGATAAGTACCATAGAATCTGTTCTAATATTTCTCATACAGAATTTGATCAAAGATTAGTCTTTCGAAGGCATTAGGTGGTAGTGCCTTTAATCATCGTAAGAAGAAACAGTGGTTTATTCTGATCTTTGCTTTTAGATCCTCTTAAGAAGATACCAGTTTTACTTAACCTCAAGTAACAGGAAAACTTGCCTCTTATCGCCATCTATCATAGTTACTCATTTTATGAGGCCAAATATTTATAATTGTTACCACAATACAGTTCTGTAGTTTCTTAAAAATTAATGGAGAGTCACACTGTTCTGGGCTGTGGAAAACTATAGAAAGAAAGAAAGAGAGAGAGAGAGAGAGAGAGAGAGAGGGAGGGAGGGAGGGGGAGGGGGAGAGAGAGAGAGAGAGAGAGAGAGAGAGAGAGAGGGAGGGAGGGAGGGAGGGAGGGAGGGAGGAGAGACTATGACTCCAAAGAGAAGTGGCAATACCAGATTCCAGACTGTGCTAGCCCAATAAGCCATTATTATGTGGTTACCCTCTTGTCTTGAAGGAATTTTCCTGTTGCTAAATCACACAGTCTTGAAGAATTCATTCTTTTGGTTTGATACATGTGTCTTTTGAATATTTTTCCCCTCTGGTATACTGTGGAATCCATCATTTGCATTCTGAATTAAAAGCAAAATTTTGGTATTTATCCTTCACAATAATTCAAATAATCTGCCAAAGATCCAGTGTCCCTTTCAGGGTTTTCTATAACTAAGTGGCATCTTTGAACTTTTAAGAGCTGCCAAACTATTGTCAAATATGTCAAGGTCTAACAAATGAATTGATGAATGACTCAATGAACAAACTCATTAAATCTTTTTTTTTTTATGCCTGCCTTTAACCAAAATCTTAAATATCATTTTCAGATATCTCAATTTTCTTCATTTTGAACTGTATATCTTCTACTTTATTCTGTGTGTGCTTAGCATTGTTCTTATTTCAATCTGTAGAGGAGGAGATTGGTACACCCTAGGTTTTTAAGTAGTCGGTGGAGATCAGGTTCTGTTTCTCTCACATCTGGGTAGCAGAGGTCAAGACAGGGAACAAAGGCCACGGGCAGTGATAAACCACAAAACCAAGAAGGAAAAGACTGGGCCTGCTCCAGACTTACAGCAACAGCATGTTGTTGGTCGACTGTGGTTTGGGGAACTTGTGCACATCCAGTTCCTCAAGTGTCTTCTTTCTTCAGGCAGCTACATTCTTCCCCAAGGTGACTGGAGTCACTAACAGAGAAATGTCACCCTGCTCAGAGGTGCTGACAGACACAAATGATGTCTGAATCTTTTTAAATTTCTTGTTTGTTTTAATTAGCTATACATGACAGTAGAATGCATTTGTATGCTCTTTGTAATACCCAAATGGGGTATAATTTCTCATTTTTTCTGATTGTACATGTTATAGAGGCACATTGGTCATGTGGTCATATATGTACATAAGGTAATAATGTCTGTTTCATTCTACCGCCCTTCCTATCCCCTCCCTTCCCTTCACTGTCCTCTACCTAAAGTAACTTCTTCCCTACTGCCCCTCCTCTCATTGTGAATTAGCATCCGCATATTGATGCTAATTCACAATTAGCATCCCACTGGTTTGGGGGATTGGCTTATTTCACTTAGCTTGATATTCTCCAGCTCTATCCATTTACTGGCAAATAACTGGATCTTTCGATGGAGACTGTGAGGAGAACATGCTTCGCAAACATGTATTCCTGTAACCTTGTTTCTCCACACAGAAAACTGGCCCTAAGAGAGGGTAGGAATTTCTGACTCTGCTGGTCTCCGAGCAGTATTACTGAGTCTGAAACATGAATCAGATCAAAGCCATCTCTGATAATTGGATAGGCACTGTATCTTTTGCCCACATTGACAGTGCTGGAATCTGTTCTCATAAGAGAAAGCCACATAGTCACACTGCCACTGTGTCTCTTAATTGCCTCTTTCATGTAAGTAGGGCTTTGTCTCTAAATGATTGTCACTAAGAGCATGTGTCAGTAAGAACTTATTTACAGATGTACCATTCAGAGCTTATATTTTGTAGCCACTCAGCTCTTTACAAACATATTTCAGTGTCCCTCTCTCCTGACTTATAGGAAATAGAGAGGTGAGGAACACTGTCTTCATTCTACACTTAAATGGTGAAGAGATTTCCTAGGGTTTTGGAATAAGCCTGAGCCAGGAGGGTATATAGCATGACTTAACCGTGTCTCTGTTTATTGCTAATAAATGTGTTATCTAACATTTCTTGATTATGAAAACTGTTGCAATAGCAACAAAACAAAGTTCCCTGAGTGGTAAGGAAAAGCTTGTACCAGATTTAGATGTACTTTCAAATTTTAGATATGCAGGGCATTCTAGACAGTTTTCAAGTCAAGACATTGGTTAAGAGTAACCAATAAAAATGAACCTGACAAAGGGACATTGGGCTTTGCAGACATCTCAGGATTTCTGTTTTTCTCATTTTTCAGGAAAACAGATTGGTGGGAATCTTGTCATTCTCCATCAGAGAGCAGAGACCTGAAGGGGCTAGGGACATGCCCAGGATCTTGTTATTAGACTTGTTAGGGTCCAGTATCAGATGATTTCGTTTTAAAAAATCAAATCCTATTCTGGGCAAGTATTTCCCAACAGATTAGTAGGCAAGGCCACATCTGAGTTCACGAAGTGATGGTTCTGATGAAATATCTCTGCACCAGGGTCAGCTCAGAGTTAGACTTGTCAAGTAGTGCATGGCTCTGCATTGAGTTGCACAGAGTGAACCAATAGGTGTAGACAATGCATCTTTGTCATTTCATTCTTCATAATAGATAATGTGAAGACAATTTAATATTAGACCATTTAAATAAGATCTTAGTACCCATTTTTGTACTTATTATTTGCATCACAATAAATTCTGTTAAAAATAGAATTGAATCACCCACATGGTGGTGCATGCCTGCAATCCCAGCAGCTCGGGACCCTGAAACAGGAGGATCACAAGTTCAAAGCCAGCCCCAGCAACTCAGTGAGACCCTGTCTCTAAATAAAATACAAAATAGGGCTGAGGATGTGGCTCAGTGGTTGAGTGCCCCTGAATTCAATTCCTGGTACCAAAAAAAAAAAAAAAAAAAAAGAATTGGTCTACCAAAATTGAGTTTGTATATCTTAGATGAATATATTACTTACCTAAATATTTGCCAGTAAATTAATGAGTTTGCTCACTCTGTAATGTTTGTGGAATTTAGTTACCCTCAGATTTCACTAAATTTGTAAAGAGGAGAATAAGAAGACTTTTAACTAATTTAAAAACATTCTCTGGTTGCTAGATAGGCTCTTGATCTCTTAAATCGATGTTATATTCTAGAGATTTGAGTTTATGAAATATACTGACAGAATTGACCAAGAACAATTCAAGAGAAGGTTATATTCAAAATTCTTCAGTAGTTGAAAGAAAAAAAGCGAGAGAAACCTCCTGGGTTTGGTAGTGGTCAAATCTGGAAGATTTTACCTTCCAGATGCTTGTGTATATATTTTAAATGTTTTACCCCAACCACATGAATATTATTTTAAAATGGCAAATGACTTACTGTTAAAGCCAGAGTAAACAGATCAGAAATGTTTTTTGCACAGTTGGGCTGAGTGTGTATACATGAAGTATAAATGTGGGCGGCCTGTTATGAGTTGTTTACTGATTAAGGTTTGCCTCTGATTATGGATTTTTGTGAAGAGTTCTGGTTTTGGTAACAATTTACTTTGAATAAGCATTTTTCTTTTTAAATTGTACAAACCATCATGAACAGAAAGCATCCCTTTGTCACTAGATACTCTTTTTTTTCCCCCTAATGAGTTGCTACTCCTCATTTATCAAAAGTAGGTGACATTTGGGGGCACAAACCCACAACCATTTTACATTAAACTCCAGCACAGAAATAGTTTTATAGGAAAACAAACTCAATTGCCAAAGCATTGCCTCAAAAATGTATAACTGCTTTTCTTTCCTGGTGTCTCCCCCTTTCCAAATAACTCCTTTTCTGATTTCTAACACTAAACTTACATGCTAACCCTAAATCTTACGTTTTTTTTAACAGTTTCCTAAGGAGGTGCTCTCTGAAAAAAAAGAAGAGGTTCTGTATTAGAATAAGTATGAGAAATACTGTATTGTCTACCTCTTTCCCCAAGGTTTATAATGGCATCTCTTGGCCCTGCTCAGGCTCATTCTGGCTGACCCATTCTGCCTAGCCCTCTCCCTTCAGGTTTTCATACAACCAACAATGTCCTTGACCCACGGCCTCAGCTCTAGAGAGCTGATAGACAATACTAATATAGCTATCTACCTGTCACTTTGTGGCACTCACTACCTTCCTTCGTTCTTTTTCTTCTTATTTTCTTCCTTTCTCTGTCACCTCCACCTTACAATATAATTTTTCTAAGTATTGTGACTTAGTTTTGTTCAGCATTGTATTCCCAGCACCTAGAACAGCAGAGTTGAGCATTGAAAAGGCAGTCAGTGAGGGTTATTTGTGCATTATTGGAAACTCTTGGCACCTTTTAAACTCCTTCCCCTCATTCATTCAGTTTCCCTTGGCAAGTCTCGTCTCTGTGATTCATTTCCATGCTGGACATTTTGTGTTGGCCTCTCCAGATCACTCTTACGATGCCAGACCCTGTTCTAAGTGCTTAACATATGCTAGCTCAAGTTGTGGGCCTATGAGGCACATGCTGTTCACATGCACGTTTTACAGAAGAGGAAATGGAGGCACAGAGTCATTAGGTAACTAGTTCAAGACTTGGAGCTCCTTGGTGGTTAAATGAAAGAAAGAGAGAGAGAGCAATTGATTCCCACTTCTGTGCCTTTGATCATGCCGCCTCTGAATTCCTTCCTGTCCCCTTTGCTACCTGCCATCACCTTTCATAGTCTGCCTTAGGTACTCACCTCCTCAGTAAAGTCCCAGTTCTCATTCTAGCCAGCAGTTTTTACTGTGCTGTATCTAGGAGTACCATGTGGTTTGTTCCTTAACTTATTCCCAACTTGATTGTTAACTAACCTCTTGCGATGAAGGCCCTTCCTTTGGGATTTGGTTGTCCTTGCAATCCCACATGAGATAATGTTGAGACTATAGTGATGAGGCTCCCACCACCACCCTTTTATGCACAACATTGTTCATTCATAGTAGGACTCCATGATGTCATCAGGCAATAAACTCACTTTACAAACCAACTATTTATGTCTAGACTTAACCAGATTTGGGTTGATGTATTAACCTAGCACTGTACCTTGCTAGATGCTGTATTCTCTACCTCTTTCCCCAAGCTTTATAGTGGTATCTGTTGGCCATTATAATGACTATTGTAATGGAATGACTATTGGACTATTGGACTATTGGACTATTCAGAACCAAAGAAATATGAGTACTTAAAATTCTGTCAGTAAAGGAAAATGTCCTTAAAATAGAGGGAAAAGAAGAATTAAGGTACACATCCTTCTACTGTTGGCAATCTTGTTGTTTAGGAAATGGATTTGTTAAAAGAAATATAGAATGATTTGGGGTTTTATGGAGGTCAAAGAGTAAACTAAATTGTACTCTCTGAAATGATAGAATTATTGGGTGGCAGAGATCCAACCCAAATTTGCTTCTCTATAAAATGTTTCAGAGCAGTGGTTCTAAGTCCCCATAGAGGAGTCCAGTATAGTGAAAAGTGTTTTCTAAGCAACCAGACAATTGTAGGTATCATTTTACTAGTCCAAGGCAATTGTAGTAGTCTTCTGCTTTTCCTGTTTAAATGACCTGACATTCACCTTCCTACTCCTTTCATTCTCATCAATGCTGAGAACACAGCTCTCAGTGTAGCCGCCTGCAGAAACAGTGATGCTGTCTGTCATCAAAGGCTGCTCATCATCACATAGTTGTGCAACTAAGTTACCTTGTTCAGGCTTTGAGTAATAATGGAAAACTGTGTGTGCCCAATAATACCTGATATAACAGAGAATGAGCTATCTTCAATTTTATCTTTCCGGTGACTTTAAAACCTAGCTCTTCTATGTCTCACATGTAAGTCTGTAGTCAAAAGCAGTGCAGAACTTTACTTCCATTTTTGTAGTAGTTACTTGTCCCAAGTCTGACTTTTTACATGAGATCTGATGTTACATGGCTCTGGCACAAGTTTCCTTGACTGAAGAGGGAAAGAGAGGTCATAAGTAAAGAGAGACAGGACATCCACTCACTGCAGAAACATCTGCATGTCTGTTAACAAGTACTGTGATAAACAAAAGAGCCATGGTGAGAGAAACCATTTAAGGACACATAATGTTAGTGTGAGAGACACCATAAGGAAAATAAACATGGTACCTGCATGACTAATTGGATAGACTTAGGGAGACTTTCCAAGAGACATTAAACTGGGAGGGAGGGAGGCTCCAGGTACAGGGAAGCTAACAAACTATGCATGTTTCTGTTAAAGGGCCACATAGTAGTGAAAATTGAGATTACAAATTCCTATGACTGTTACTAACATGACTCAGGTTCGTAGCCTAGTCCSCTAAATAAATGGTATCCTTCTCAATCTCCAATGAAAAGGATTCAATTTGAAGTTGAACCAACCATCTCTTTGACATTACAAACACAAAATGTCACAGTATCTAATATCTTTAGTATTTTTTTTTTAATGTCTAACTCTGGTGTGCTCTCATTTGAACTTTAAGGGCAAATAACTGAAAAGGATGGACATGGAAAATTTAGGTTCTATTAATTAGGATATTTCCTACATATAAGGGACAGAAAGAAAGTTAACAAACTTAATACAGGTTGAACATCCCTAATTTAAAAATCAAATATCTGAAATGCTCCAAAATCCAAAACATTTTGAGCAGCAACATAATGCCAGAAGTGGAAAATTCTACCCCTGATTTCATGTGATGGGTCACAGTCAAAAAGTAGGCACAGTAAAAAAAATTATATAAAACTACCTCTCAGTTATGTGTATAGGTATGTAGAACACACAAATGACTTTCAGGGTTAGAAATGGGTCCCATCCCCAAGATCTCATTATGTACACGCAGATATTCCAAAATCCAGAACACTTTGACCCCAAGCATTTCGGATAAGGGATATTCAACATGTATTTGCTTAGAATGGGTTAGAGAASTGAATTATGAAAGGACTAGAAAATTGAATCAAAGTATGAAAGAAATATGTCCTCTTTCAAATCTTCTCAAAATTCCTATGTGGTATATATTTTTATGTTTTGCAAGAGGTTTTAAGAAACTTACCCAAGATCACAAACCTAATATAAACAAGGTAGAGTCAGATTTTAAACCTAGGCCTTATTATAAATCACATCAATATTTCACTTTACATTTCTGCTTCCCTGGGACTAAAATACAGGCCTTTCCTATTCTCAGTATTGACCTAACCACCGAGACACACTCCCTCAAGGTATTTGAACCTTCTCTGAAAACTGGTTCCAATTAGTGTTTCCTGAATTTCTAAAACCAGCTTTCACATTCAAGGTTCTTTCCACAATAGTTGAAATAGATGCAGCGTTTAAAAAAAAAAAAAATGTGGGAATGACATGTTGATACGTTGTTCTGTCTGTTTGTTGGACTTGAATTCTAACTTGGATTTAGATGCCTTACAACTGACATTATGACCTTGTGCTTTTGTTCTATAGGGGATTTCCAAAGAAGGCCAGTAGAACTGCTAGAATAGCCTCTGATGAGGAGATTCAAGGCACAAAGGATGCCGTCATTCAAGATCTGGAACGAAAACTTCGCTTCAAGGAGGACATCCTGAACAATGGCCAGCCGGTACTTGACAGATTAGGCTGGACTTGGAAGATTAGCTATCCACATCAAATCTCTCTTCCCTGAGGCTTAGATCTTAAGATTTGTGTTAAGATTTGTCTTAAGATTTTTTCATCAACCTTGAATCTCAATATTTCTCTTAATGAGTTAGAGAGAAAGGAAGAAGGAAGGGCAGATGTTAGTGTTGGGACTACAACAAATGAGTAATGATGATAAAGAAATGTGGGAATGGGGGTTGTGGCTCAGTGGTAGAGTGCTTGCCTACCATGTGCGAGGCACTGGAATCTATTCTCAGCACCACATATAAATGAATAAAATAAAGATCCATTGACAACTAAAAAAATTTTTTTTTAATTTGAAAAAAAAGATATATGGAGATTCTGTTTGTGGCTGGGTAGGTCCTAGGGAGGGAGGGAGAAGATGTGCCCTTGGAACAGTTTGCACCCAGAAGCAGTGGATTATAATAAAAGTACCAGAGGAGAAGTTGGTTCTGTGRCATGTACTGCTTCTACCCAAAAAATACCTTAGCTAGAGAAATCATTGGTGAAGTTCAGTCCTGTACTACCAGCTGATGACTGGATGGATATTAGTTGACTCAGAAATCTGAACAGAGAATTATGTTCCACAGTCTCGTGCTAATTTGTCAGAGCAAGACAGCTAGACTTGAGGGGGAATGTTATATTTCAAGGCTACAGAATTGTAGAGTGCATATATAAATCTGGTGAAAAACATGCTGTCTTTCGTCCACTGGACTTGAATTTTTTCTTATCAAGTTTCATTTGGTTTTCACATTATCACATCAAAATATCATCGTCAGTGGATGGGTAAAGTCAATCTAGCAACTGAGATTCCCCAGGCAGAGCAGAGGGGTCTTTTGTAGCTTTTTTCTGGAACATTACCAGCAAATTTGCTTGGCTGTTGGATAGAAGAAATGGGCTTCTTCATAGAAAAATCTCCCTCCCAGACACATTTTTCAGAGTGGAAAGCTCTCTATGGGAATTAACTTTTCTGAAAATTTTAATTCTTAAGCATTGATAGATAAAAATGTAAAAATAGACCGTGGGAGATGTGGCCAATAGAGGAGGAGGGTTGAATGCTGACTTTAATTATTGGAGCATCTTAATCTGATTAAGGAAGATTAAAATTCTAGTAAGTTTTTTGTTAGTTACTCATTTCATTGGGTATAGAAGATCTTCACCAAAAGAAAATATTTTCTCCCTAAAATAAGTGATTACATGCTCTGGAAGCATTCCCTGGCTCTGTCAAGTAGTCTTTGAAAGATTTTTAAAAAAATATGTATGGGAACTTTTTCAAGCCAGGTAAAGGCATCTCTCCAGCTCCCCCCCTCCACTTCTTCTTTTAGATTATTTAAATATTCTTTATAGACTTAGATTTCTTAGTTCAAAATAAGACTTCTGTAAGCTACTATTTAATCATGTTATGCATACCTATATTTTTACTTATCTGTTACATATTTTTATGTATCRCTTTTATGTATAAGCATATATTTATCTGTTTAGCAGCGAATGGCATTCAAAATGAGTTCCATAGACATCCACATTTGAGAGCCTAAAAGAACAAGAAAAGTAAGGTTTCCCTTTTAAGAAAATGGAATTCTTGAACCATTTTTCCTAATGTTAGATATTCTGTTACTTATTTTTGGCTTTTGTAAACATGGGCTTGTGTTTCCAAATGACATAGTGATTTAAAAACAAAACTTTGAAGTAAATTTGGCTTCCAGTGGTAGCAGGTGCATTCTGGTATTGGAACAGATATCAAATTGATACTTCTGCCTCTGAGAAACAAGGTGGAGATCACTCCAATCCCCCACCGATGCTGATACAGTTCTCCATGAGAACACAGGAAGGCTTTAAGACAGCAAGTACTTCAAACTGTTTGAAAACTGAATTCACTGATTTTTTAAAATCGTTTTGAGAGAATTAATTTACATAATAATGTACTGGGCTGAATCACTTCATGTGCCACTCAAACRTGTACCTCTACCTCTTTTTGTCCCCTGCCCTTTCTTTACTAAATGAAATACTCTGACCTTTAGGGCTGCTTGGCACTTGATCTCTTTCACTTCCCAGTTTCAGCTRGGACTAGAACCAGCAATTACTGGAATTGTAAATTTTCCCAACATATTTTCCTAATTAGAGAACTTTCAACAGAATTTTCATCTACATGCAGAAGTTTGTCTGAAATAACTTTTTTTTTTAAGATTCTGCCTTATTCTGTGTTTCTAATAAAACCCCCCGTTTGCAAARTGTCCCTTATGGGGCAGGTGAACTCTGAAGTTTCCTCCCACATCCATAATTCTAAGGCATTTCAGAATCAACTGAAGCACAAGAATCACCCCAGCCAGGGCTGAGAGTGTAGCTTAGGGGTACAGTGCTTGCCTGGCATGTCTGTGGCCCTGGGCTCTGTCCCCAGCTAGAAAGAAAAGAGAGAAAAAAAAAAATCAATCATCCCACTGACAGAACAAAAATGTTGGCATCTCTTATAAGAAGGGCCTAGCAAATGGTTTTGGCAGACTCCAAAGTACTGATTGCTAGGTGCAAAAACACTACCATTTTCTTCCTGATGGGCAGGCAGTTTGCTTCTGAGTAGTCATGAATTATGGATGTTAGTTTTGGCAAAWAGCTTTAATGGTCCTCTTGCTAATCTAACCACATTCAGTCGTCCTTTGTGGATTATCGTATTGGCCCCTAATCACATACACTACACAGCAGCCTAGAAAGTGCTCCTAGCAGGGAGACCTGCCCCCAAAGCAGAAGGACTACCACTGTCAGCTGGTTGAAAACTTTCATTTGCTAATATTTATTGAGTATRTACTGTGTGCAGAATTACTTCTGTCAGTGATACCTGTTCTATCTTCTTACTGATGAGTTTGTTCTCCTTTTGGGTGGCTTTCYGTTTTCCATGTCAGTTGGTCTTGGAGCTTACTTGGTTGTCCTAGAGCCTGTGAATGACTCTGAAAATAGTATTGCCTTTAAAATTTGCTGTTTGAAGATCTTCTTTTCTTTTCTCTCTGTTTTTCAGGAAGGATGAGAATAACACATCTTCTCTATGGTCTCTGCCTTGCAGCTTACCATTTACTTTAAATCTACACTGTATCAATTGGTGGCATCCAAGATTAGTTGTCTCATCTCCCAACAGTAGGTTAGGCCAGGAGAACTATAAGAGGAGGTGAAGGGCAGAACTGAAGCACAAGAAACAGACCCCTTTGACATGCAGCTGTCTGGAGCTGGAGAGAGAATAGTTACAGAAAATGTCAAAACTCATTTTATTTTTTAACTCTTCTTCATAAGGCAGTATATAATTGTGAGTTTTTTCTAATCATAATTTTTTTTGTGACTTGCTTTATTTAGAGATTAACTTATGAAGAAAGAATGGCCCGTCGACTACTAGGTGCCGAGAGTGCGACTGTCTTTAATATTCAGGAGCCAGAAGAAGAAATGACTAATCAGGTACTGTGTTGCTCTAGACTTCCTGGATAGATGACAATTATTCCATCCCTTCTGACACTATTCTTGGGATTCACGTTGTGAAAAATAGAGGACAAGCCACAGACAAGCAGTATCTATGTCATCAAGCAACCTCACAATAATATGGATTGAACAAATACTGTGTGCCAGACACTGYGTTAAGTGATTAGAACTATTTCCATCGGTAATTCTTGTTCTTTTTATCTTCTTATTTATCTCTTTATTTTCCCTTTGAGTATCCTGATTTTTCGGTCTTTTGCTCTAATCCAAAATAGTTTGGTATGGAGAAACACCTTTTCACTGGCACTGTTTGAAATAAGCTAGTATTTCCCATTATACTCTTAATATCTAGCCAAATACCAATGTTCAGAAAAGACCGCCTTTATCTTCATTTGCATTTAAAGCATAAACCAGCAAAAGACCTAAAAATTCTATTTTTATTCCCCTGCTATCTCCAAAAGAAAGAAAGAAAGAAAATTCATGGAGCTGTTGTAAGCAGCTGTATAATCTCTATTGCCTCTCCACAGAGTTTCCAGATATAGTTTCAACAATTTATAAAACAATTTAAAGTGTCAAGTACACTCTCCTATTAAAAAACGTGCCTTTGGTTTCTCTATGTTAAGTATTGCCACCCTGAAAGTTCCATTTAAAGAAAACTAGAAATCCTGCTACATCTTACTATTTCTGTCATCTTGTTTTTTCTACCATTACAGGATGTTGGGTCTCCTCATGCCTCTGTAGGGAGTTCTGTGGATGGTCAAAAGGTTAAGCTTTTCTCCTTTCTTCTCTTTGCAATCTTTCACTGTGACTATTTTCTTCATTTTTAACCTGTGTGTCTGTCTTTACTTTCATGTGTTAACTATAAGTGCTATGATTCAAATCAATTTCCATTTAATATCAGATAAACAGAATAACTACAGCATGATTTTTCTTGACATTTATTTACCAACAAATTTAATCCTAACATTAGTGGAAGCTCTAAACTTTGAATCATGAAAACATTTCCACTTGTTATACACCTTTGGGGGGTTACTTATTCGGAAAGTGATTAATTCCAGAGTAATTAGACAAAACAGCATGTGGTGTATTGCTCACAGTGTTATTCACAATACTATATTTCTTCCCTCAAACCAGCAAACTATTTTCTAAAGATGGCAGAACTTCTTTAAGAGAAAACCTAGTTACAATTACTCCCTATTTAATATGAAATAGGGAATATTTATAATGGGCTGCCTTGTCTGCATTGTACTTTACAGGCAAGAACTGTAGGATCCACCTTAAACACCACGGGATATTGGGGTTCTTGGTTTTGCTTTGTGTTTTTAACCAAAATTTTGACTGGAGTGTTAGCCCTGTTTTTCTGTTAAAGAGATGAGTTCCTAATAGCTGTAGAGCTAAGGGGGGCCCCCTATGAGATGGGGTTGTTATGGGTAAAAAAAAAACATGGTGCTATTTCTTCCATTATTCATTTGATAAAATTCTGTGCACACTGCAGCTGCTTTCACATGTACTCTGAGCCTTCTGGAGAGGTACACCACCCTGCAGCAGCATTTACCCTACAGAAGGAGATCAGTGTTCCTTTATGTGTTATTTTTATGAACAGATAGGGAATACAGAGCCTTCAGTTTTTTCTTTTCTTCTCCACTTCATCCCTGTTTTTTGTTTTGTTTTGTTTTGTTTTTCTCAATGATAGGACTTGAAGACAATTTTAAATATCACAAATTTTCACTTCCAAATGGGTTTTGTTTTCTATGGAATTGAATTGGGTTCAGATTATGTTTTTAAGCTCTTTGGTAAAAATACCTCTGTCATCTTAGTGCCTTATTGGAGAGGGTGATAAGACTCATGAGACACATTGTTCTGTGACAGCTTGAGGTTGCTAACTTGAACTTTCTTTGTTTGACACAGGAATACAAAGTCTCCAGCTGTGAACAGAGACTCATAAGTGAAATAGAGTACAGGCTAGAAAGGTCTCCTGTGGATGAATCAGGTGATGACATTCAGTATGGGGATGTACCTGTGGAAAATGGAATGGCACCATTCTTCGAGATGAAGCTGAAACATTATAAGATCTTTGAGGGAATGCCTGTGACTTTCACATGTAGAGTGGCTGGAAATCCAAAGCCTAAGGTAAGCTAAAAATATGACTTCTTAAGAGTTGTCTCAGTTCACGCTACAATAACAAAATGCCTAAGGACTGAGTAATGTGTAAAGAAGAAAAAAACCTACTCAAATTAGTCAAAACCTAGTAAAACCTAGTCTATTTTTACCATAGAACTTTACCATTTTGGCTGGTGGTTCTGGAGACTAGGAGAGCTAAAACATGGTGATAGCAAGGACTTCATCCTCTTTCAATTCATTGCAAAAAGCAAAAGGATATCAGATGGCAAGATAGAGTTAGTGTGCTAGAAAGAGATTGCTTTTATAACAAAAATAGTCCTAAAATGACCCATTAACCATTAAAATCCATGAATGGATTAATCCATTAATGAGGGCAGTGCCTTCATAACCCAATCACCCCTGACAAAGGTCTCATCTTTCAACTCCACTGCACTGAGACCAAGTTTCCAGTAATGAATTCCTGGGACATAACCAAATTACAGGAGTCACATTTTCTGAGGAAGAGTTTAGCTTCTAAAATATAGCAGACATGATAGGAAGAAGAGACACAGACTAGCTTTCTCAATATGAGATGTTTTAAGTACTCTAAGTTGAGAATCATCTTCAGGACACATTAGAAACCAAAGAGTGGAGGATGGGGGAATGGAGTTGGAGGTTTGAAGAGTAAATCTGGGATAGGACAGGACAGAACAGGACAGAATAGGATAGGAGTGGCTAATGAGAACAACTGAATAATTAACAAGGAGCTATTCATACACCTACATCATTTTCTCCTCATTATTACTCTCAAATTGCAAATGACTAAAGAGGACTCTATGAGATTAACTTTCCCAAGGTCAAAGAGCTGGTAAACAGCCAGACTTAGACATGAACCCACGGAGGTACACTATACAGAGAAGTAGTGTTCACCACTGGTGATAAAAACTTCAAATCTCTAATCGATAAAACCAAGGACTCCTATGTTTACAAATGGAGGTGGGGTGAGGAGTACTCTTTAGAAAGGATGATCAAAACTTCTGATAATGCAGGATTAGGCTGACCTGGGTGGGAGGCCTCTCCCYACAACACAAGGAAATGCTGGTTAAGGAGCTGTTCTGCCAATAAAAGGAGATCTAGAATAACTGTTCACTAGCCCAGCAAAGCAATAAACAGGAGCATACTCTTTGCTAACTTAAGCAAAAAGAATAGAAAAGGTGAGAAACTGAAACCCCATCAAAGGCAGTATATAGATATGAAAGTTAGTTCTGGATGATTAACTTAGTTTTCTTTCATAAGCATGCAGACTGTTTCTCCATAGGACACTTTTCACAGCTTAAGCCATCAGACTTTTGCAGGATAGAAGGGAGGAAGTGCTACTAAACAGCTTCACAGTCAAGAGTTACAACCATATGAGGAAATCAACAACCATGAGAGTCAACGACACAAGGAAAAAACTAGAAGCCTAAGAATTGTACATATTAAACCCTTTTAAGGAGCTCTAATAAAAACCTGAATTTAAAATGACTAAAATAATTTAAAAAGGAATAGAAACTCCAATGAGAAAACAGGACAATATCAAAAATGCAAATTTGTCAAGTATATAGAAATGAGAAATTTACTCTCTGGTATTAAAAGTTTAAAAGTGGGGGCTGAGGTTGTGGCTCAACAGTAGAGCACTCACCTAGCATATGCACGGTCCTGGGTTCAATCCTGAGCACGACATAAAAATAAATAAAATAAAGATATTGTGTCCAACTACAATTAAAAAATAAATATATAAAAAAAAAAAGGTTAACAGCAGAGTACAAGAGCTGAAATGAGAATCAACAAAATGGAAAAAGGGCAAGTGACGCAACACCTGATACTGGTAGGTGTTAATTCTCTGCAGCTTTGTGCATTTTTTGTTCTCACATTCAACTTAATTTTACCATCACTATCTTTCCTTAAAACTGAATTCTAACAAAGCCAAGAAAAATAGATCAAAGAAAATGGCCTCAAATTTTCAAACCCATATCTACTCTCTAATAAAATGGAACTTTTAAAATAAACTCTATTGTTACAGGAAATTTCTTTGCCACATTCTTGTCATAATTTGGGTAATAGCTGTGTATTCACAGCATGATATCAAATGCATGTATTGAAAGTAAATTTTCAGCTTTTGAAGGAAATCCACTAAGACGTTATATCTTGAACTTAAAAGATCCCAGATTATTTTCAAACCTTACCCAAGGACATTAATCAAGTTTTAAAATCATTGATTCCTATTATTTTTTTAAATATTTGTTTAGTTGTAGTTGGAAACAATACCTTTATTTTATTTATTTATTTTTACGTGGTGCTGAGGATTGAACCCAGCACCTGGCATGTGGTAGGCGAGCGATCTACCGCTGAGCCCCAGCCCCATGGATTCCTATTCTTATAGAAAACTTTACTCACTTGAAACAGTGAACTTTGTTTTTAACATAACAGTTTTTATACTAGTGCAAATTTAAATGTTACAGATCTTCAAAGACGCTTGTTTAGAACTTTTATTGTCAAATTTTCTTCTTTTATACTTCCTTCTCCCCCTGTTACCCTTCCCTTCCTCCCTCCTTTCCTCATTCCTCTTCTTCTCCTCCCTGGATTATTAAAGTACTATCTCTGCCATACTATATAAATCATATTAGGGCTGTTAATATATGGAATACTCATTGTGTGTAAAGATTCCTTTGTTTTGGCTTATGTTTTTACAAAAAAAGTATCTCTTCCTTCCTTGTACTCTCTACCTCTTCCATTAGCAATCTCGGCAAAGGTTTGGAACTATTTATTGATTTCATTTGAAAGTTGTATTACAATTGTAATGGAGGTGAAAATGATTAAAGGAAAGAACTCAAAAGAACTGGCCTTGTGACAAGAATGCAAAAGGAAGAAAGAGTGTACTAATTACACTTCTTTACTTCACAATAAGTAATCCAACCACTAAAATTGTATGATAATTAGGAAAGATGATGCTTTACATAATTTAATTTTTAGAACTGAAAGTTATTAGTCAGATTTTAGTTCTGGAGATTAATAAGTAAGATAATTTCTGGAAATTTGGAACTAAAAAATAGGGGTTAGAAAACCTGTAACAGATTCTAATAATTCAAGCATTTATTTAGTTTTATATATATATACTTTTCCTCTGTTAAAAATAGAAATTTCAAAAAGATTTTTCAGATTCAAATAGTTTGCCAGAGTTGAATTTGTATGGCAGTTTATTTTCTCAATTTACATTTGATTTACAATAAGGAAGTTGTTTATTTTTAAAACTAAATAGTCTAAAGTAGGTTTTCTTCTGTTGGGAATCAATTAGGAATGCTTTTGGTTGCAAAGGACAAAAAAAAAGGATTTACTGCAGTTTAATAAGGGGGGGATCTATTTTATTAGATTATTTTTACAATGTATTATGATATGATGACATTATTATAACGTGAAGTCTGGGGTGGGCTGACATCTCAGTCATGTTAGGGCTGCTTTACTATCATTCATTATGATCTTGCAACTGGGCAGTTCATAACCTAAATTAAAAATAACAAATTATCAGACAATTTTGGACCACTTTTATTCAAAGATGAGGAAAGGGGGGTTGTCTATGGAAGATACAGTTGAGCTACTTGAAATTTTTAAAACTTTTTTTCACAAGTAATTTCCTATCAAACCAAGATATATAACTGAAAAATTATTGTACTTTTCAGTGATACTGTGTTTCTTTAATACCTTTGGGAGAGTTGACAAGTGTTCAACTTTTGATCATATTCTTCTTGGCCCAGAATAAAGCAATAAGAGTTCTCACCATCTCCAATGCTGAACTGCTGCCTCCCTACCTGCATTCTTTTTTCCCCATTTTTTATGGGTTTATATTAATTATACATAACATCAGAATTCATTTTGACACAATTATAAAGCATGGAATATAATTTGCTGTATTTCGGTCCCCAGTACTTCCTCTCCCCCCCCATTCCCTTCCCTCTAATCTGCTTTCCTGCCACTCTTTTACTCATTTAACACAACTCAGTGGCATGATTGGAGTGTGGGGTCTGTGACTGTCCTTCAGAACAAGCTATTTTACCTTTGACTTACAAGTAATACATTTTACTTATGAAAAAAAAGAAATATGTAAATGTAAAATACATTTTACAYTTGAAAAAAAAAAGCAAAAAAATGCCTATAATGTCATTTCAAAGAAATAATCAGTGCCAAAGTTCTCTATATATCCCTTTGTGCAAATAAATTAATGTAAATATCATTTTTAACAACAAAAAGAAAATATATCTTTAAAGAAAGGAGGACTAGAACCTGGGGTATAACTCAGTAGTACAGTGTTTGTCTAGCATGCATGAAGCACCAAGAGGCAAAAAGAGGTATATAATTAAAAAAAAAAAAAACTAAAATAGTTTGCTACTTGCTTTTTTCCTGTTCAGGTATTTGTTTAACATTTAACATGAAAAATCAAATCAGTCCTTTAGACCACACTGTTATCAGTCCTCTAAACACAGTAAGAGCACATTCTTCATCTTTGTTTACTTGAACAGATCTATTGGTTTAAAGATGGGAAACAGATCTCTCCAAAGAGTGATCACTACACCATTCAAAGAGATCTTGATGGGACCTGCTCTCTCCACACCTCAGCCTCCACCTTAGACGATGATGGAAATTTTACAATTATGGCTGCCAACCCTCAGGTAAAAAGGGGTGTAGGTTTGGGCTCTTTGCTTAACAGCACTTACAGGCATTTGATTGGACAGAGGAACTGTTTGATTGAAAGATGAAGTTGTACTTCTTTGACTTATGAAACTGTTTTTCCAAATCCAATAGCCATCTTGGTTTCAGAGGCCAGAAAATTTCCTTGTTCCATATTTATTTATTCCATCAGGTGTTCTTCTCTAGCAATGATTCTGGTGCAGATATGCATTCCTTCCATAAATATTAAGGCTTCCTGTGTATACACCTCTTATGGAGGCTATGGGGTCATAATGGTGGACAGGATAGTCCTGCAGTAGAAAATAATCTAATATGATTTCTAGTAGGATTAAGTTCTATAAAGAAAATAAAGGAGGAAGAAAGGATATAGAGTAGTGTGTACAAATTTTAGTAACAGAATGCAAAAAAAAAAAAAAATTTAAAGAAGTACACACAAACATCAATGAACTTCTTGGCCCAGGATTAAAGTAATAGAGTGTTGTCCTCATCAGGCATTGGAATCTCTGAATGCCTATATATAGCATATTTGTATCAAATTTTTTTGTCTTGTGTTTGCCCTTAGATTTAGGGCCAAAAAAATTGCCTTCTTAGAATTTAATGAAGGGTTGCTGGATATCATCATGTTTCCAATTCAAGCCCACAAATTTTTTCTTGAGCATCTTATATGCCAACTACAGGGGACACAAAATTGAGTGAGTGATTTTGTACCTTAAGAGCTCAATGTGTAACAGGGTAATTTTACTGAATTCACTGAAGTTGTATAAGTCATAGGCTTTTTTTCTTAAAGGAAGCTAAAATTAACAATTTTATGTATAACTAATGATGATTGTTCAGAAGTTCTTTTTAAAGTCTCTGATTTATTTATGTTGTTCCATATTTTGATATATCTTTCAAAGATTAGAAATGTAGGATTTTAACAAGGCTTACAGGCTTTTAGACATTTGTACAAGGTATCCTATTCCAATATTCCATTGTCATATAAAGACATTTTCTGTAATAATATTAAGATTAGAATGATACTCAAATTATCCAACTAATCAGGTTTGACAGCACAGCAGACTCTTCACTGTCACCTACATTAATGCACTTTTTTGAGGTTCTAATTTTGTCCATAAATACATGACCATCATCCTGAAAAAGTCAAAAGCATAGTCTCTATTAAGAAGTTGCACTTCAATGAGTATGTTCATTGCATAATTGTAAGAGAGAGCAAAAAAGCAGAGGTTGCTTTTTTGTCTTATTATATTTTCTATGTGTTTCCTTGACTATCAACAGACTTCATCCTTCAGTTTTCTGCCTGTTTAAAAGAAAAATGGTAGAGAACTCAACAAAATCCAGAATTCTTCATTGGATTCTTTATTATTCTTATTCTCTAGAATGACTGGGATTTATTCTGGGGATAGAATTATGTGTGTTTCTTAAGTACTTGGTAGAACTGGGTTCCTGCTTTTAATTTCAAGGCATTTTTCCTAGCATATTTTAAATTGTTATTGGAGTAAGCCATTTTATAGAACAAAAGAACATAAATGTAAAACTGCAATTGTGGGTCTGCTTCTGCTCTTCTTCAAATTATACTAATGTATTTGTACATATGGAAAAGTTCTAATCCAGGAAAGGTGCAGTGCTCACGGCCAATGGCAGCATGCAGAGTTTAAGACAACAGGCCAGCCTCAAGAGTCAATAGTGTCTGATCGTTTACACTCTCGACAAACATGATAGAGTCACTATTGAGAGCTACTGAAGATCCCCCTTGTACCATTCTACATTGCACACCTATATCATAACATTACATTGTACTCATAAATATGTTCAATTATGTCTTAATTAAAATAAAAACCAATCTTAAAAAATGAAGGTAATTTTACCCAAAGCCCTGTGTAAGAGCCCCAGACCCTCCAAAAAGATCCCCTTTATAAACAAGGGAAAAGGTGAAAGGGAARGAAATAAAAGAAATGATGTGGAGAGCAGAGTATAGGGGTGAAGAGCGTGAGCTCTGGCATCAGCAGATCAGAGAGTTCTAACTCTGTCACTTATTACCTATGTGACTTTATCAAGTCACTTCACCTCTTTATGCCTGTTTCCACTTCTAAAATATCAGAATAACAATATGGACCCATATAGTACATGTAAAAAGCACTCAGCTTACCTGGAACATAATATGCTTTCAATATTATGTTTGTGAATTATTCTAATTCACAAACACTAATTCCCATCTTAAAAATAGCAATCCTAAGACTTGGCAGAAGCCTGTGGAACCCGGATGGAAGAGATCAGTTGTTTCTAGGTATTCTACTCCACAGTTCTTTTAGAGTAAGCAGTCCATTGGGATGGAATTTCCACCCAACATGCTGCTGGTGTGTGGTCTTCTGACCTCCTGGCTTTTCCCTTTTATCACTCCCATGGGAAGGGAGTTAGGCAGCAGATGTGGCTGTGCCACAACTGCCACAGCTGTGGGCTTGGGTGGAGGAAACTGAACTAGAGAATGGGCCCCACCCAGGCACAGCTGACACCGGCCACACAGGGAACTGGGAAGCTGCTCTGCTCCCAGCRCCCCCTCGAGGGCCAAGAGAACACCCCCTAGAGAAGAGCCACTGGCCTCACATGAGGCCCCCGTAATTCTGCTTTACCAAATCCCAGGCTAAGCCCCACAGTCAACCCCCTCAGGTCTCGCCCTCCACCCTTTGGAGAGAAGGCAACGATAGGAGAAGTGGACCACTCTCCATCAGATAGCCAAAAGCCCAGCCCTCCTGACAGAATAGCCCTCCCGCCCCATCTGTGATTTAAGCAAAAGGTGATATGAGTGTTTGGGGTCTACCTGAGAGGCAAAAGACACCCAGGGGCCATAGCAGTCAGCCCCTGTCCCTAATGCCTAGAATTCCAAAGGTCTTTAAATACACTCCGTGTCATAATCAAGAGATGAGGCCGTCAGTCTCCTTTTCTATCTAAATCACCAAAGACAGACAAAGGAGGGAAAACTCATGAAAAGAACCTAAGGAAATCCTAAAAGTGGACATTTAGGCCTCGGCCAGAACATGTAGTTGTGTGTATCCCATTGAAATCACTGTAAGAGAATTCTGGTAGTTATGCTACTTGGCAGTAGTTGTTATTTCGAGTCTCTAATCATGTTGTCTGGTTGATTTTAATTCCAAGAGTAAAACTCCTTTTTTCTCCTGGGGTCTTCAGAGGCAGGAATACCCAAATATGCCAGATGTCTATCTTGTGAGTCATCTTCTAGATACTGGAATGAATGTTACTACTTATTAAAACAACAAAGTGGTATTTAGACCAAGATGAGTGGCAGCCCATTTTTCTAACTAACCCTTGGCATAAATTATCATTTGTGGCTGTAGGAATGCCAATATAGACCTGTTTAACTCTCATAATTTTATCCTTATAACATCTGTTATTATACACTGAAGGATTTTATTATTCTTGTCATTTGTGAATTAAAATATGATTTTTTAAAAAAAGAATATCTTAAGTAGCCACTGGAAAAAACTCAAAAGTAAAAGCTGAATCTCTCAAGATATGAAGTGTAGTTGACAGAAAACTGAAGTTGACTGTCTACTTCCCAGATGCCCTTGAATTTTCAGTTACCTTGATTTTTTTTTCAAATTTTAAAAATATTTGGATATGAAAGGCAGGCAATTACATCTATTTTTTCCTAATACACTGTAGGCTACATGATGTGAAATAACCGAGGGAAAGAGGAAAAGGCTGGAGTGGAAAAATTAGTTCAGTAATGAAATACAGAAGGCAGAGCTTTTCAGAGCAGTGGAAAATAATTACAGAAAGCAGCCAAGAGAAGGGMGAGAACCAAGGAAAGAGGAAAACACTAAAGTTCAGCAGATTATTTTATAGAATATGATATTTTTCCACCTGGGTTAATCTTTTGGGAATGAGAAACATGTTAGATATTGTTGACTGCATCCAAATTCTGTTTGGGATGGAACACACAGCTCTCCACCTACCCTGTGACTTTGTATCATATGCAATGTGTGCAGCTCAGAGGAATTCATTAGAGACCAGAGCAATCACATGGTTTAGCAAAATAATGAGCAATTGTGCAGTTACACTAAACACGATGCCAAAATGAGGCTCATGAAGCAGTTTATTTTAGACCCTAATCCTATCTTTAAGACACAACTAAATCTAAACACAAATGTTTTACTTTGTTTTGTTGTGTTGCTAAGTTACTTTGTACTGCACTTGGATTTTGGAATGGCTGCTTTGCAGTTTGATGTTCCCTCAAATTGCATTATGTATACAAGTGGCAAGCCTTTATAAAGACTCTGTGCCACAAGTTAAATTCATAAACTATGAAATATAAATGTTATTTTCATATCACATAAATAACCGACTTTGCATGGTGCAAATAATCTTTACAAGCTGGATGTTTAATACAAAATCACTTTAACAATTCAAACTCCTTGTTTGTACTATGGCTTTAAACTTTGGCTTTGTTCAGAATAGAAAAGTGACACAAATCTGAATATTAAAAATGATTGTTTTGTTTTAGCATTGTAAGGTTTCCTGGCTCATTTCAATCTTCTCTCTAAACATCCACTTTCATTATTACTTCACAGATTAATAAAACAGAAAAAAATTAAAATGTTAAAAGTACCATAGCAAAAATGTACATCAGAGCCTTCTAATTTGAAAATCATAATTTGATTGCTAAGATTAATTGGTATATTAATGATTAAAATCATTAACACTAATTCTATATGAGCATTCTCTTAAATAAGGTGTTCAGACATCTTCAAGACTGCTTCCCTGAATTCCAGATTTTTTTTTCAAATAAAATTTTCAAAATTATATAACTTCTTAATTTGGATGCTTTTTAAATGCTCCTGATCACGTATTGGTTAGTAGTATATTTAACCAATAACAGTACACTAATCAAATTAAAAATCTGCTTCCTGAAGACCATGTCCTCCTCCTTATGTTCAGAAGTCAAAGTTGTAGAAAGTGTAGGAGTACAAAGACCACAAATGGTAACATAAAATGTTTTCGTAAATTTGGGAGGAAATATTCCATGACAAAGTTTGTGTGTCCGGTTACAAGCGGTAGCAGCAAGAACCCAGAAAACAGTGTARAACTGCGTAATTTCTCCAGAGCAGTATCAACCTGGATGCCCTGTTTTTCTAGAAAGGGGAAGAGAAGGCAGGATTTGCCCTAAGCTTAGTCAACAATTAGCTGAGTAGAGCACCTTTCATCCTACATCTCATATAATGCAGCCATCATATAAGCAGGCCCACTGAATACAACTGTGCTTGACATCATGAAAGCACCACAGAAGTTAAAGGTTGGCCTACTTGCCACATATTCAGCCTCCCCTGCTAAAAACATTTTGTTTTCTCTTTAGAGTAAATTACATTCTAATAGAATAATTTACATATGCAAAAACTGTTAAAACACTTCTACTATGCCTCATATTCATCTGATATTATAATATATGTCCACATTTAGTACTACAGTATTTTAACATTTTAAGCATTTACTGTATGTAAAAATGCAATACGAAGCACTTTGTATATTTTAACTCATATAATCATTACCAAATATGCAGGTATTAACTATATTGTTTTAACAGTTGAATAAATCTAGCATGTAGAGATGTTAGATTATCAGTTCCTAAAGGAACAGAATTGACTTACAAACCCAGAAAATATGATTCCAGAGCTAAGGAATACCATTCAAAGGTGTCTGAGGCTCATGCTGGGATAAGGGATAGGGGAGACATTGGTTAAAACAAGTTTTAAAAAAAAATGGAAAGAAGGTAAGAGCATCCCTCCAATAAAGTACATTCACTTGGAAACTTTTGGGCATCATCCATGCTCAGGTGGGGCCCCCCCAAAATCATCTCAATGCATGTCCATGCATATAAAATGTCATCTCAGACCATGATAATACAACATCAGCTATGATGGATTTAATAATGATGTCATGTACCATTTAATAATAAGACCATCTTAGGTTATAGCATTTAATACTTACAACATCCTTGTGAGATATATTCCTTTTCTTTACAGAAAGAGGAAAAAAGGCTTTAAAAAAACTCAGTAATTTGCCCAGTTTTAGAAAAAGTCAAAACTCAAATTCAGGTTAGAGGATTATTATTTTTTTTTTTGCCTGCTCATGCTCTTTTTTATTTTGTGTGTGTGTGTGTGTGTGTGTGTGTGTGTGTTGACAAAAATGTTCTATATCTTTATTGCATTGGTGGTTACATGACTGAAGGCATTTGTTAAAATATTAAAGTTTGAATTGAATTCATAGACATTTTACCTAATAAACCAGACTTTAAAATACACCCGAGCAACTCCTGAAGGAGACCACATCCAGTCAGTTGGATGGGAAGTTTTTCCTTATAGGGGTTCCAAGTGGTACACCTCCATGGTTACCATCATCCAGCCCTTTGGCATGTAGTTTTTTTTTTTTCATATGTGTTCAGAGACTGCTTCAGTCAGTCCTTTGATGAGCCTGTCTTCTCAAGAGGATGTTTAGAAAAGGGAGGGAGTGGGATGAACCACAAACTTTGTTGCTCAGCTTGGTGTGAAGGTTGTAATTGGCATGCCTTAGCTCCCTTCTGTACTATCCAATACAAATTATTTTTGCCCCCAATCAACTTTCTTGCTCATTAGAATCCATTACTAGGCAATGACTTGCTTCTCACTACTGATTTCTGGATCCCTGCCACCCACAGAATCCATACAGCATCCATAATTTTTACTTCATTTGAACCATGCTGGTAAAACATGTTTCTGGAGGAACACAACCTCTAACCCTGCAGGGCTCAGGGTTGCACATGGGAAGCACAGACTCTTCCAGTTAGTCTTCAGCAATGATGTCAACAAGGACCTGTCCTGCTGGCACCTTCTGTTTTTCAGACTTACATAT